GGGAAAAGAATCAGCACTGACTGTCAGCAGAGAGTGCCCCCTACTGACCCCCTTTCCCTCTCTCTGCAGCACAGCGCCCCTTGTTGCCACTCTGGGGCATTGGGGCCTGCACTGACTGGCAAAGAAGAGAGTCCCCTATTGATCTCCTCACCGTGCTCCCTGGAGCACCACACCTGCTACTACCATGCTAATTGTCCCAGCATCACAACCCCATGGCAGTCCAGGCAAAGAAGAACCCCAGGCCATCCATCTTCCCTCTGGCTCCACTCCTCTTTCTTACCGGCCAGTTAATCAGGCAGTTATAGACCCGTCCTCCATTCAGAGGTGTATAGAACATGGGGGCTCCAATTAGAACCAGGTCTGTGTTCCCATCTCTGTCGAGGTCCACAGCGCACAGTGTTCCCCCAAAATACGAGCCAATCTGGAGAGGCAGATAAGTAACCCATTCAATTTAGTCACTTCCTCCTTCTTCTCCCACTGGGACCCTTCTCACCCTAAGGGGATAAGGATTCAGTCCCAATACTCTATCCATCCTTAGACTCACCCTCCCGCTGCACAGCAGGTGGCGCTATCACTGTAAGTGTTCCTGAATATATAGGCAGTTAGATCTTGGAGAGATGCTGAATGCTAGTTGTGGTGCAATTCTTTTTAGAGGTTGTGCTAGCACGAGTAAAGTTTATTCACTGACTGAGCCACAGTTATAAATTCTGTTCAGCTGGAATGTATAGGCAGTTGGAGCTTAGAGCAATTCACTTTGTTAGTGTAGTGTGATCCTTTCCAGACACTGTTAATATCACTAGCAACGTTTTTTCCTTGCCTGAGTCTCTCTGGCCCAGATCCACAAAAGGACTTATGTGCCTAACCCCCAGACTTAGGTGCCCTTATGATCCACAAAACCTCTGCATGGCTGCTGCTAACCCCTATAGGTGCCTAACCTGACTTGGTGCTTAAATTTTTTGCAGTAGAATTTCCTTATGTTGCTGCCTCAAGGGCAGGGCATGTGCACGGCTGTCTTACTCTAAGCAGCCAGTTGCCCATTTTACACAGGGGACAGGGAGCGGGGGGAGGTGGATGGGGCAGGGGTCCTGGGGGGCGGATAGGGGGTGGGGGCTGGGCCACAGCCCCCTCCCCTAACCGGCCCTCCATACAATTTCCAAAACCCGATGCGGACCTCAGGCCAAAAAGTTTGCCCGCCCTGATCCAAACACAAATATTACACAATGTCAAAATCTTACAGGCTTCCTCCAGCCTTCTCTCTCTCACATCCACACTCCATATTACCAGTAATGCTCCCCATACCTGCTCTCCCAACACCTCCGATCTAGGTGTCCATTCCCCACCCTTGGTATCTCGGCTGAACAGGACGACTTTGCCGGCATGTTGGTAGCGAGGGGCCCCGACCACGTAGCTGCTCTGCCCATTGGCTGTGATGACCTGAGACGAATAACCTCAAAGGAAGAGAGGGACGTGGGGAGGTGAGATGGGAAACAGCCATACAACAGTGCTGCACAGAACTTTCCCAGAACTGAGATGCAGCCACCTCTGGGGTGGGACGTGGTGGGGGGGAGGGCTGTTTAAATAGGTAAGGGAAGCTCGGGGGGTTTGTTCTTACCGAGGTAAGCATCATTCATGTCAGTGGAGGTTCTGGATACGTTGATGAAGCTCGGCTTCCCACTGCTCCCGTACAGGTATATCCCACCGGACCAGTCATAGGCTCCCACCACTCCCAGCACAGGCCCGTCCTAAACCGACACACACGGCAAAGGGGACTGATTACAGGAAACAGACAGCACAGACTGTATTTACTAGACAAGGCGAGAACCTGCAGCACAGCGCCCCCTAGCATCGTGCTGGGACATTGGGGTCAGTGCTAACAGCCAGGGGAGTGAGCACCCCTTACTGGGCCCCTACTGGTCCCCGCTGCACATAGAGCCCCCTAGTGCCCACCCTGAGTGGGAGGGGAGGGTGCCCCCTGCACTCTGGGCTAGTAGAGGGATGTCTCCCCTGCAAACGCTAAGCCAACCAGCTCCTTCTTAGCTTGAAAGCGCTGTCAGGGCCCCAGCGCATGGCAGCGTGGGAGACGCCCTGGGGCCAGGCATCACTCACAGGAGACAGCAGGGAGCTGAATCCTTCCTGGGACATCTCCAGCTGGAAGGAGCTGCCGCTCTGGGACTGGGTGCCTGGGAGAAGAGACAAACAGACAGACACGGGAGAGACCATCATAGACGGTAAAGGCCCCGTGTCCCATTCCCTGAGCCAGCCCTTCTCCCCACCTTGAGACTGGACTGGATCCAGCGCCCCCTAGAGAGAAGTCCCTGTATCCCATTCCTCAACCCCTTGAGCCAGCCAGTCCCCTGCCCGGAGGCCCCTGGATGAGAAAGGCATTTGGAGGATATATGGAGATAGATCAGTAGATAGATGTTGGATGGGGAAAGAGAGACTATTTGGGGCCTATTTGAACTCTGGATTCTCAGCTGCTCCCCGTCCCATCTCTGCCTTGAAAACCCATTTCTAGAGCCCCGGGGCCAGTGCAGCCCCTCCCCCGGCTCTGGTACCTTCAATGGCGAAGATCTTCTCCTGCAGCTGGCTCTGGATGCCCTGGAGGGCATCGAAATTGTCCACCCGGAAGACGTGCTCGTTGCTGGGCTCAGAGGCGATCTCCTGGAGCTCCCGTTGGGCAGCAGCGCTGGAGAAGGCCTCGCCGACCTTCATGGAGCAGAGGGAGGTACAGGGGAGACCGGGGCATCAGCGTCAGTCACAGCCGAGAGCCCTGGACCAACACCCACCCATCCCGAGCCCTGCTGGGCCCTCGAGACGCACGGCTCAGCCAGCGCCATGTGACGCTCCGGTGAGTGGGGGTTGGGGGGCCGCTGGAGCAGCTTGGCACAAGTGTCACTGTGATGTGAGGAGAGGGGCCCTCGTGCCTGGAGTTATGGAGCCTGCCTCATTTCAGCACCGAGTTGTGTCGGTTGTATCAGCAGCAGGGCACAGGGGTTTTCTTGCCATGGGGATTGTCAGCACTCTGGGGCCCTGCATGACTCAATCTCCAGGGCGTAGTGAGGGGTGAGTGCTGCACTGTCTCTGGGGGACGCCTCAGGGCAAGGAGTGAAGGGCTGGGACCACCGTGCTGGTCTGGGTGGGTTGTGTGCAATCGGTTCAGCAGTGGAGTCAGGCACCTCCTGGTCGCTGGGCGCGACAAAAGCCGCAGACAAAGGTCGAACAAGATCCAGTGGCTGGAAGTGGAATTTACACCCATTCGGACTGGAAAGATGGTGTCAGGTTTAACCATGATGGGAATTAACCATTGGAGCAGCTCACCACGTGCCACGGTGGATTCTCCATCTCTGGCAATTTTTATCTCAAGACTGGCTGGTTTTCTGAAAGATCTGCTCTGGTTCCAGCATGGATTATTTGGAGCAGTTCTATGGCCTGTGCTACACAGGAGCTCAGACTAGATCATCGCAAAAGTCCCTCCTGGCCTGGGAATCTATGACTCTAAACCCGAGTTTTGCCTTGGCAAAGGGAAGGTGATGGGCCTGGCCCCCTAGTGCTCATGTGCTCTGCGCCCAGCTCTCTGTAGCATCTGTAAGGGCCTGTGCGTGTTCCTGGTGTGCTGGGGCATTGTTCAAAAAGGGCAGAGTTAAGGTTGTGAGGGTGTTTGCCTTAACTGTGTATTTCATGGATTTCAGAGGCCTAAGTGCAGCCGCTCTCCACATTTGGGAAGGGCAGGAAGCAGCACTGGGAAATCTTAACGCTGCACTAAGGAAGTTAATGGAATAACTCAGCTTCCATTGTTCACGCTCAGTTCCATTGTTCAGGAGACACAATTACATTTTTCTTTACTGTTTTTCATCAGCCGTCTGTTTAATCAATGCTGATTCCCTTGACCACATCTCTTACGCAAATTCAGAGCATTCATGTGGGTTTTAGAGCACTTTCAAATGTGGCTCTTCACCTGGAAATTTTGATCTCAGGGCAAAAAAATCCAAAAGGAAACACTGCAGAATGACAGGAACATTAGCCAGTAGCAGGGATCAAACCCTCAGGGCACGGGACCAATTCAGGGTGAATGGCAACCCACTGTCACCTTGAGCCACATAAGTATCCTCTTGCTTCAAAAGAGCCCTAGATCTTGATGCTCATTTCAATCTCTTTGGCTCAGCAGTTTGACATGTGACATCCAGTGTCTGAGGCCACGTCTACACTACTCGCTCGATCGGCGAGTAGTAATCGATCTATCGGGGATCGATTTATCGCGTCTAGTGTAGACGCGATAAATCGATCCCCGATCGCTCTGCCGTCGACTCCGGACCTCCAGCTCCGCAAGCGGCGGAAGCAGAGTCGACAGGGGAGCAGCGGCCGTTGATCCTACACCGCGAGGATGTGAAGTAAGTAATTTTAAATCAATCTAAGATACGTCGACTTCAGCTACGCTATTCTCGTAGCTGAAGTTGTGTATCTTAGATCG